TAGGAGGCGGTGCCCAGATCCGGTGCCCCAGGCAAGCCCAGGACATGGCCAGCGGCAGCAGTCCAGCTGCCCTAAGAGTGATGGAGCTGCCTTCTGGGAGGGGCAGGGCAGGCCATGGCTGTGTCACCTCCTCAGAGCCCCCGTGAGAGCAGAAGGGACCCAGTATCCCCAGGAGGCAGTGGACAAAGGCCGACCCCATGGCCTCAACCCAGGGGTGCGGCCCTGACAGCCCAGCCCACACAGTCACATCCCCTGTAAGTGCTTCTATAGAGCCTTCTAGAAGACTGACTAGATAGTCTTGCTTGCCCACTAACCCGGAACTTGACCCTCTGACAAAACCCAAGTGTGTGTGGTTATGTGTGGGATGGCCCTGTGTGGGGATAGTCACATGTAGAGTGGGCCCGTGTAGAGGTGGACACATGTGGGAGTGGGCACACGTGGGGGTGGCAGGTGCAGGGTGGGCACCTGTGGGGTGGTCACAGGTGGTTGGTCTTTTGTGCTACTGCAGCCCCGGGACTGGCCTTGGAGATCCAGAGCGTGGCAGTACAGCGGAGAGAATGTTTATCTTGAATATGGCCAACTCAGGTTCGATTCCTAGCACCTCATCTGGTCCCCGAGCACTGCCAGTTCTGGGCCCTGAGCTCAGAGCCAGGAGTAAGCCCTGAGCATCCCTGGGTGTGGTCCCCAAAACAAAACAACCCAAACAAATACAGACCTTGGCGCAGCTGCCTCTCAAGATGGAGCGCCCAGAGTGCACATCCTGGTCACAGGGGCCAGGTGAGCATGGGGACCCTCACCACAACGCCTAGGCTGGCTGGCACACAGGAGGGGACGCACGGCCCCTGCTCTCTGGACTCAGGGGCTCCCTGGAAACTGCAAGTGGGACGACCCCCACAGACACCGGACAGAGAAGCACTGCGAAGAAGACTCCAGGCTCCATCACCCCACAGATCTGGGATCTGGTCCTCCCAGGAGCCCCGCTCTCTGGGAGGTCCCCTCTATCCTCCAAGATGAACCCCCCCACCAGCCCCGGCCCTGGGCCCGCCCCCAGACAAGCCCCTTCCCATCCTGGGACCTATCCCTGACTAGCCCCGCCCCTATCTGGACCCGCCCCCTAGAAGCCCCGCCTCACCCTGGGACCTATCCCTGGTTAGCCCCGCCCCTAGGCCCCGCCCATGGGTCCTCCCCCCCAAGAAGTCCGCCCCTCATTGGGTTCTGCCCCAACAAGCCCCGCCCCTGGGTCCGGCCCTAACAAGCCCCGCCCCAACCTGGGACCTATTCTTGATTAGTCCCGCCCCTCCCCCAGAAGCCCGGCCTCTTATTGGGTCCCGCCCCCAACAATCCCCGCCCCTCCTGATTAGTTCCGCCCCTCCTTGGGTCCCGCCCCCAAGACGCCCAGACCCCCGTTGGGTCCCACCTTCTGCTTTTGTCCCCTGGTTGCTGACGTGCACAGCTCTTGCCTCCCCATGAACCCATGACGAGACAGCTCTTGCCTCCCCATGAACTCCGCTCCCGATCCCCGTGCCCCGGCTGTCTTCTTGAGTCTGACTTGGAGCGGTGCTGGGTCTGCACCTGGACCCCCCTCCCTACGCAGCCGAACTGTCTCCGGTCTGTAGGGCTGGGGATGACCCTGCACCACCTACCTGACTCCCGGTCCCGTGGACTCACACAGCCCAGGATGTGGCTAGGGGCGAGCTTTGCTGCCACCCAGCGGCCTCCGGGAGCTGTGCGCCCGGGAGCGGACGGACAGAAGCACTCTCGGGCAGACCCTGCCTCCCAGCTGTTCTGACGCACCAACTCCCACGCGGAGCCCAGGGGTCGAAGCCAACGTGACCCTGAACCTCGACCCCCAGGACCAGGACACTCCCAGGGGGAAGTTGCGGTGCCTGAGACGTGGCAGTCACCGACTTAGTAGGGTGCCCAGCACGTCTGAGTGTGCGCAGAGGGTCTGGGACCACTCAGCTTGCTAGGGGACACCTCAGGGCTTGGCTCTCCTGAGGTGGCCTGCTCTAGGCTCACCCACACCCCGCACACTGGGTCCTGCAGGGAGGAGCCCCAGCTGCCCAGGAAGGACGTTACCCCAGCAAAAAGTCGCCCGGGAGAGCAGGTGCAAGTTCATCCCCAGGTATAGTCACACTCCAGCAGTGGGGCCCGTGCTCCGAGCAGCACATGAAAGGAGACGGCTCTGGGGAGCAGTGGAGGCTCAGCACAATGACCCAGCATTCCCTCTGCTGGCTGTGCGCCCCCCAGGAGTAGGAACCCGGGGATCTGCACCGAGTGGGATGTCAGTTGGCCCTAAGGAGGGGTCCCTGCTAGGGAACACTGGGCTGAAGCTGTTCTGACCACCGCACACACACTTCCCCAAGATCAGAGGCATCCCTGCAGGAGAGTGCAGGCCTTCAGACCACACCTGGCAGTGCTCAGTCATTCTTGCTCATGTTTGGGGATCATGAGGTGCTGGGGATCAAACCAGGGTTGGCCTTACCCAATGTACTAGCTTATTATTTTCTTTGAACTTTGCAAGATAGGAATGCAGTAAAACATATCTCTGGACTGCATCAATAGTTTAATGGTTAAGGTGCTGGCAGCAGCCGACTCTGGTTCCTCCCAGCACTGCAGACAGTCCCTTGAGCGCCACCAGGAGTGAGCTCTGTGACCAAGCACCCAAATGATCCCAAATGAAGAGGGTTGGAGGGGCCTCTTGGACATCCTGGTGTAACACAGCCTGGCCACATTCACTCTGATCAGAAACCACAGCATGCCACTTGGGTGTGTGGCATAGCACGTGCACATGCGCACACATGCATGCATCAAGTGTGGTCACAGCCCACTGTGGCTGGACATGGAGGCTTGTGCCGGCATGTGCATAGATGCCTTTGTAGACATAGCAGGCAGAGGGATCAGTGCATGTGTGTGGATCCATGTATGTCACCTTGTTCAAAACACTGAAAGCTCTTTAGGCTCCTTTATTCCAACATGCCCCCCAGGGCTTTTCTCCAGAAGGCCTTCGGGGCTAGGGAGGACTGCAGAAGGTGGCTGCGGACACAGACACACACACACACACACATACACACACACACATGCCCAAGGCTGCACCCAGAGTTGGCCCTAGGAGGTGTTGGGGGGAATTCACAACCCTAAATGTTTTTATTACTGAGCAAGAGACTGAAAATAAATGAACTGAACACCCGACACAGGAGGGAAAACAGAACAGTAAGTAAATCCCCAGGAGGCGGGAGGGGGTGAAGATAAAGGCGAATTAATGAATTGGAAACAAGAAAAATGGGAGCGCTCATCAGTAAATCCAAGTGTGGCTCCTCCAAGTAAAGAAATGGAACACACCAGCTGGCTGGCTGGCCGGCAGCTGTGCAGGAGGGGATGACACACCACGGGATTGAAAGCGACAAGTTAATCCCACTGATATTCTCGATGAAATTGACAATCTTCTAAGACAACGCAAATTACCAAAATCAACTTACAGAGGCTGGCAAAGGCTGTGTCCATCACTGTACAGAACAAAAAAAAAAGGTGCATGACCGGAGGTGGGACTCTGGGGACAGCAGGCAAGAGCTGAGTAGCTGATGGGGGCTTGGAGAGGGGCCCCCACACCAGTACTGGACAGCACTGACCCCATCCCGCTTCCTACGCTTCCAGAGAAGACCCCAGGGACATGCTGTGTCCACAGAGCTACGCATGTAGAGCCGACACCCAAACACACGGGCACACAGGGACACAGCTCCAGAGCGGCCAGACACAGAAGCAGCCCCAGTGGCTGGGTCTCCCCTTTCCTGACATGCACCCAGGGGTGGGGGCATGTATGTGCCTGGAGCTAAGGGGTGGCTGTTCTCTGAAACAGCTGCACATAGGCTCCCCCACCAGTTGCCCACTGGGGGACCAGGGACCTGCAAGGACAGGAATGAGGCTGAGAAAGTTGCAGAAGTTGCAGGGGACAGGGGCTGCGCCAGGAACAAGTGGGAAGCCCCATCTGTCCATGAAGACTCGGGTAAAGCAAAGTGGGGTCCTCAGGGCCCCAAATGGAGAATGCCTCAATTATCCAGCTTTGGTGCACTGGGGGCCTCAGGGGCTGGGGGAGGGTTGGATGGGGTTCTCAAGGGCAGGACACACCAGGGGACATAGCTGTGAATAGAGCCATCACAGGACACCCCAGTTCCCATCCACAAAAAGGAGGGTGGGGGTGGGTGCTGGGAGCAAAGGAAGCTTGGTTTCATGCAAAGTGTCGATCTGGGGCATGAAAAGTTCTGGAATCATGTGAGCCCGTGGCATGTGCCTCATGCCACTGAATATGCACTTGAAAACGGGTGAAGAGGAGCAGCACACGCACAGAGTCAGACCCCCTGCCCCAGTTGCGCTGCCAAGCCCAGATCAAAGGGGTGCCCGTGGGCACACACCAGCAGCTGGGCCCCGCTTTCCCTTGTTCTGTCCTGGGGCTATACCTTGCTCCAGCCCTTAGAGCCACCTCCCCTTTATTTTTTTGCTTTTGGGTCACACCTGGTAATGCTCACTGGTAACTCCTGGCTCTGCGCTCAGGAATTACTCCTTGGGGTGCTCAGGGGACCATATGGGATGCTGGGAATCGAACTCGGGTCAGCCGCGTGCAAGGCAAACACTCTACCCACTGTGCTATCGCTTCAGCCCACCACCTCCCCTTTAAAGGGAACACAGCCAGGGGTGCTTGACGGGCATCAGGAATCCTAGTCAGCCCTTGCACATGCCAGCTTGGCTTTACCAGCTGGGCGATCCAGGCCCGTTAGCCTTCAGACATGCCAATCAGTGGATAAGGTGTGACCAACAGAGGTGTCCACTGAGCCACCCAGCCTGACTTCCAGGCTGACTCCCCCAAACCAGCCCCTGCTGCAGTCGGCCTAGGGGAGTCCAATAGTGGAAGGGACAGGTGTCTGGGCAGGAATGCCCGAGCAAGGCCTTTCCCAGGCACCATAGTTTCCCTGCAGTCACCCACCAAAGCTGGGAGTGGACATCTGTGCTAGAAATCCCTGTGGCTTTATTAAGTCAGGAATGAACACGGTGACACCAGGATGTGGGGACTGCCAGACCTGCCCACCACCCACCCACTCCAGATAGCAAGTGGGGGCAGCGGGGCCCAGGCACCCAAGGGCTGCAGGTCATCGGCCGACAGCCATGAGGAGGAGGCAGCTTATTCCATGACCATCCAATCCAAGGGCCGGGAGACGCTCAGGGAGTGGCCTCAGTTATTCTCGATCTGCTCAAGATCCAGCTCCCCCCGGTCCAGGGAGAAGACGCCCTCTGATCCAGTGCTGCCCCAGTTCTCCAGGACCCCGCCTTCTGCACCTGCCAGTGCTCTCAAGGCCCAGGGGCTGCAGCCACAGGTGAGGCCAGTCGCCAGGTTGTGGGGGTCCCGCAGGGAGGACATGGCCGCCTTTGCATGGGTGTCGTCCTCATCCTCGTCCTCGTAGTTGAGGGAGCACAGGCTCTTGGAATTCTTCAAGGTCTGCAAGAGAAACGGTCGTTAGCCACGCAGGTGCCCAGGCTGCACCTCTGTTCTTGTGGCTGGGAGGGGTCTGTGGGAGACTGGCACTGTCCCCTCAAGTTTCAAGCCCCTCTCCCGGGCTGACCCAGGCACAAAGCCGATTAGGACTGGGGGTCTGAGCACCCACCAAGCTACCCTCAGTGTTTGGCAGCCCTGGGCACGCTGTCTGCATATCGCCACCAGGGAGAATGCATGCAGCCACCTGTACCCACCTGAAGTCTCCCCCCAAAGCCAGACCCTGGGACCATGAACAAAGGTCCCCAAACAGAGCCTTGAGCACCCGCCTTCAGTAACAGGCTGTGGGGAGCAGCGAGCAAGAGGTGCCCCACAAACACAGGCCAAAGCCCAGAGTGAGCAGGGATCTCAGATGGCCCGCCACATACATCATGGTCACAAAATGCAGGTCCTTGCACCAATGACCCATGCAGGTCAGCTGGGTGCAGTAGACAAACGTCCGGTGCACAGCTGGATGCCCCACCTGTGGCCACAGTCCTGAGTGGGCCACCACCCCAGGCTTATTCCTGACCCCTGGGACCCATGTGTCATTTCTTCACTGCAATGTTACAGAGGACAAGGAAGGGGAAGGGCCACAAAACATGGACTGCAGCCGCCTCTGGGAGCCCCACACATAACCTGAGCCCAGCAAGCCCTTTCCCCACAGCTGCAGGCAGCAGGGTCAGGGCCCATGTCTGGGGTTGAGGGTTCAGGCCAGAGCACAAGGGCTCGTCCAAGTGGGCAATATCACCCCTCAGTGACACTGTGGCCACTAGCACCCTCATACACACACCCAATGGCTCGCCTGCCTTGGGGCATGCGCAGTCATGTGGAATCTCAGAGCACCGCCGAGGTGAAGAGCGCAGGAGGTGCTAACACAGACCCTGTCCCCCACCTGCTCCTACCTGTGTCCTTCCAAGTCACTGTAGGGAGAGTGAGCCACGGCAGCCAGTGTGGGTACCCAAGTCAGAGCTCAGGGGTCAGAAATCAGACCTGAGATGGGGGTTTGTGAGCTGAGCCCTTTCACTTCTGGGTCCTCTCCTTTGGCAGGTAGAGGGTGGCCCCAGAGCTGAGTGCTGGGGGTCCCACTGCTGGCCAGAGAGAGGTGGAACCTTCTCCCCACCTCCTCTCACCTCTACCCCTGCCCTCCATCCCCCCAGCTTCCCTCCTGCATGGCAGGGGCCAGGCACGGGAGCAGGGTCAGGAACCCCGCAAGTCCCCAAGAGAGAACTGACTAATCCCCCCAGAACTCCCAGGCTAGACCACGAGTTGTTAGAAGGGCCCAGGAATGGGGGGAGGGGAGGCAGGTGAAGTCGGAGAGGGGAAACAGGACGATTCAGAGCCCCTCACTCAGCATGCAAGGATCCAAGTTACCAAATTCCCCAAGCTGTGTCCACATGAGGGGAAAGCTCCAGTTGCATTGCCAAGAGCCCCAAACTGCAAGAAGCTCCCTCTGCTGATCACACTCAACAAAGTCCACCCAGCTCACAGAACCGGAGCCCCGCCCCCACCGAGGCCCCACCCACCGGCCACGGCTCTGCCTGAGCCCCCCTCACTTGCTCACTCGAGTCATTTTCAGAAAGTCCAAAGACGGGCGCGGCCCTCGCGCTTCCTCTTCACGCCTGCGTTTGCGGTGGCTCTTCCTCCCGTTGAGCGCGCAGGGCTGCGAGCGGGAGCGCAGCAGGCCCAGCCGCCGGCCCAGCTCAGGGGTGGGCGAGGGGGTGCTGCGGGACGAGGGCCGGGCGCCAGCGAGGTGCTCCTGGGACAGGGACAGGCGTCGCCGGGAGGACAGCACCCAGGGCCCTGCAGGACGCCCAGCCAGGTCTCCTTCCATGCAGCTCCCATCCAGGAAGCTGCTGCTGGCGGAGGAGGGCCGGGGCGCAGGGCTCCCCTGCAGCATGCTGCTCCCGCCGCTGTGGCAACGCCGCTTGGACACAGGGGTCCAGACCTTGGAGACCCCGGGGCGCCACGGGGAACGGCAGCGGGCAAGCTCGTCGGGCTCCGACAGGGACCGGCAGTGCCGCTTGGTGGGCGGTGCCAAGGGGGCGCCTGCGTGTTCCCTGAGGTCTGAGGCGCTGGCTGCACCCAGGCTGGGGCCCAGGGTGGAGGAGTGCCTGGCAGTCTGCCCACCAGTGACCGTCCAGGGACGCTGACCTGCAGAGGAGACAAGCATGTGAGGGCAGGTGCAGAGAAGCACAAGAGCTGAAGCTCTACGCCGCCTCCTCCCAGTGACACCCGCCCGGGGCTCCCTCTTCCACTCACCGCTGATCTCCAAAGGGAGCCAGTGGCTTCCGGTGCTCACAGTTCCCGCAGAGCACTGCAAGTGGATCGAGGAGGTTTGTGACGAGGCCATCACCACAAGCCTGGGCACTGCGCCAGCCCCGCACACGGCATAACCCATGGGCACCTCAGCAAACAGCCAGCATCCACTCCACACCCACAGGCCTCACAGCCAACACCCGCTGTGCACCCACAGGCACCGTCTGCCCGGCACATGCAGCACAGGCCCACTTCCCAGCACGGCCTGAGAGAGCTGGAGGGGAGTCAGCACTTGGGGGCACCGTGTTTGCCGACTGAAAACCCAACCGGCCCAGCAGTGCAAGAGGGCTGAGAGCAAGGACACAAGCGGTGCCCAGTGCCTGACCCCACCCCCAAACCAAGGCACCCAGTGGATCTGCCTTCCTGTCCACAGGGTGTGCAAGCAGTGTGCAGAGTGGGACCCGAAGGGGCTAAAGGCCAGAGCTGGGCCACCAGTGGCACCGCTGCTGAGGAGGGGCACAGACGTGCCGGAGCAGGCCTGCCTCCCCTGATGGTAGCCAGCAACAGTGTGCACAGGGCACTGCCCTCTGGCTGCCTCTCCTGAGATGAGGGTCCCTGAGGAGGGGCAGCCTACAGAGAGAAGGCCTCATGAGGCGTGTGCCTGCTCAGAGAACAGCAGCACGAGGAGCCCTAGCACTGGCCGACCGGTGTCAGGGCAACCATGGCCAAAGGCCCAGCGGCCATCGGGAAGGAGCCAGAGGTGGCACTGGACCATGGCGCCCCCAGAGCTCACCCCCACAGGTCCCCAGCATGCCAGACACAAGGGCTGGTGGCGCTGGGCTCAGGCGTGGGCATGGCTGGGGTGTCCCAAGGCCCTCGACCTCTGAACCGCCACATAAGACACAGGTCACTGTCTCTGTGTGGGGACGTGCAAAGGGCAGCACTGACCATCCAGGCTCCTGCAGCCCCGCCCACACGGGGACACATGGTGCCCCCAGAGTGGCCCATTGAAGACACCGCCACACAGTAACTGGCCCTAGCACCTCCTCAGCTAGGCGGCATCCAGCCAGGAGCCAGAGGACACAGAAGGGCTCCGTGCAAGCAAGTGTGACGGGGGTTCGGGGCTGAGGCACAGGGGTACCTGCGCCGAGGGGCACTTTCAGGGTGTGACAGCCCTTGGCGACACCTCCACCCCAGGAAACTGCTCACCGGGTCAGCATCATGGCCACTCCAGGCCAGGTCGTCGAGACTCTGCTTCTGCAGCTTCTCAGTGATGAGCGTGACCATGGTCGGGGGCCGTGCCCCCTGTCCACGGCGGGGGTGCTCTGGGGCTCCAGGACATGGGGCCCTCAGGAGGCCCACACACTGCAAGGACGCCGCTGTGCAGATGCGCTGGCCATGGCGGCCACAGGCCTCCGACGTGGAGAAACAGGCTTTCACAGAACCGGCACTGCACCTACAGGGCAACAGGAAGGGGCAGGTGAGGCCACGGGCAGACAGAGCCAGAGAGACCTCTGAGGCGCAGCAGTTGCTCGCCCCTCCCCCGCCCCAACTGAAGCTGCAAAGGCAAGGCTCCGGGAAGGGGCCAGACTCCGGGGGCACCTTTACGTACCACCAGATCAGGGCCTGAACCCAGTGTGGGGCCTCTGGGGACAGCCTCTTCCCTCCTGAGGGGGCCCCTGGCAGGATGCGGGCACCCCTCCTCAACAGCGCCTGCCCCCAAATACCTGCCCCCGGCTCTGCCCCACACGCACTAGCCCTGGCACACCTACAGGCCCACCGCCTGGTGTCTTCCACACCCTCCCCCAGCACCAGGACACAGGCAACCCCCGTGTTCCTCAGGCGCTGGAGCAAGAGGCACCCCAGCTGCACCAGGACCCATGAGCCCACGAGCTCCAGGCTCCTCACAGACCCGGGGAGAGCAGGCAGGTGAGTGTCTACGCCCACGAACGGCCGCCTCAAGTCCTTGAGGCAGTGGGGGACGCGGCACGATCCCTGGGCTCACAGGGACACACGGCCCCGGGCTTCCAAGTGAAACTGGGGGGGGGGCTCCTCCGGGGGTGCCGCACGCAAACCCCAGAGCGGGCCCTGCCCAGCCTGGCCCAGCCCCCTGTGCCACAGAGCGGCCAGAGCCGGGCAGGGCGGCCGCAGCGATCAGAGCGGGCAGGAGCCCACCAGCTGACCACCGAGCGCCCTGCCCAGCAAGGACCCGCACCCCGCCTCGGACCCGCAGCGGGACGGAGGCGCCTCCCGGGGTGCCGCCCTTCCACTCCAGCTGCCCCACAGGACGCGTCGGCGTCGCGGACCGGGCCCCGGGGCCCTGGGCGCCAGGGAACCCACATGCCCGAGCTGCCCTGGGCTCTCATCTGCGAGTGGCTTCCCCTGAGGAATGCGGGGGGGACGTCAGTTCCTGCACAGCTGCCGCTGGGTCCCTCGGAGCCGAGGCCAGGACATGAGCCGGCACCCACCTCCTTCCAGACGCCAGAGCAGGAAGGGCTGGGAGGCCACAGCACGTCCACTTTCAAGTGTCCTCGGACGTTAGTGAAGCAGCCACGAGAAAGGCCAGCCGTGCCCGGACGGCTGCAGGGTGCGGGGCCCTCCGGCGGGGGGACAGCTGCGGGGCGCGGGCGCCGCGGGCGGGGACAGCCCAGAGCCCTCGGCAGCCGCAGAGATCCGAGCAGTCCCGGAGCCTCCTCTCTGCCCTCGCTCCTGGCCACAGGGAACTTCTCCTCTCCTCCGCCCCAGCCTGCCCCGGCCCCTCCAGCGGGCCCGCGGCCGCGCGGACCGGAGGGCCGTGGGAGCCGGCATGACCGACACCCAGCGGGAGGGCGGCCAGCTCCTAGACCACTAGGGTCTTGCGGGGGCAGCGGGGCCCCGCCGGCCACTGCGGCTCCGGCTGGGGCGGGGGCGGCGGCCGGCCCAGGGCCAAGCCCTAGAAAGTTCTGGAGGCTGCCCGGCGTGCGGCAAGGGGAGCAGGTCGGCGCCCGCTCACCTTCGCGTCGCTTGGCTCCGTCCCGGCGGCCGCTCGCGCCCGGCCGCGCTCTCCGTCCCCGCCTCCGCGCTCCGGGGCGCCGCGGGCGGGGGACGCGCCGGGCCCGGCCGCCGTCCCGCGCCGAGCACGCCGGGCCCGGAACGCGAGCGCGGCCGGGCGGAGCGAGGGGCCGCGGCCGCGCAGGCCGCGCTGCTCCAGCGAGGACGACGCGCCTGCCGGGGCGCCGGCGGAACAAAACCGCGGCCACCGCCCCGCCCCCTCCAGCCGCGCTCATTGGCCGCCCGCGCAGCCGCCGCGCGCCCTCGCCGCGCCGCGCGGGGCGGGGCCTCGGGTGGGCGGGGTCCGCGCCGCGGCCCTGTGGGCGTGGCCGCGTCGCGGGACTTGGGAGCGCGGAAGACGCGCTGGCCCCGCCCCCGCGCGGTGCGTGCGCCGACGTGACGGGCGTGGCCCGGCTGCCAGGGCCGGGGGCGTGGATGTGCGCGGGCGCGCGGCGGGGCACGGTGGGAAGCAGGTGCGGGAGCGCGTCACCAGGCCTGCCAGCTGCTGGCTGCAGTTGCTACTCCAGCCTTGGCCAGGTGCAAGTGGGCGACAGGTGTACCCACCAGCTAGGCTGTGTTGCTTCCGCCTAGCGCTTCCCGAGAAGGGGCCCTCGGTGTGTGTACTCCAGGCCTGGGCACAACACAAGGGGAGGGGGCAGTGGGTGCCCCAGCGGCTGCCCAGGCCGGCTGCTGGTCGCTTCTCATGCTGCCCCAGGTGCCGGAATGGGCTGAGGGCAGGCTCTGCATGCATGCAGGAAGCCATGGCACACATGGGCCAGACACCGTCAAAGTAGTGCCTAAGCACGGCTGGGTGTGCCCCGCAAAAACGTGGCAGGTGGCTACCAAACTCACTCCGCACACAGGATTAGTCACCAGTAGCCGTTCGTTCTGATGGTGCTAGGCTGTCAGGTCTGGAGATGGGCAACACAGACCCAGCGTCTCAGTCATGTGTGATTCCCACATCCCTCATCAGACTAGGGCACCAAACCAGGTGGTTAACACTGGTGTGACCAATGACCACCAGGGCTTCACTGAGCACAGCCAGGAATTCCCCCTGAGCACCGATGGGTGTGGCCCAACTCCTCCCCCAGGTAAATAGTGTGGAGGGTAATGCCCTTGGTTTCTAAAACCGTTCCAGTGTCCAAGCTGGGGCAGTGACTAGATAGCCGTTTGCACAGCTGGATGACAGATCCCAGTGTCAGCCATGAAGATGGGCTGAGGTGCCGGACACACACCCATGCACACCTCTGGGATGTGTCCCCATCTCTGTGCTCCCAGACTGTTGGTGAGGCTTTTCAGCCCTTGCCATCAAACAGCCAGACCTCTGGGCTGGACAGGCAAGAGGTATGGGCCTTTAAAGAGGTATTTTCGTCTTTATTGTTGCATTGTAATCCCATACAAAAGCAATAGAAACAAGTCTCAACAAGAAGTTTACAATTGTGCATCTGAACAGAAAAATCTGTACACATTATCATTTACAGCAACTTTACATGGTAGATTAACTGATGTGAAAAATGCATTAAGCCCACCTGTGTCCTCACTCCTGGAACACTGCAGGGGCAGCCCCAAAGCTATTTACAAGATCAAATTTAGGTTGAAAATAAGCTAAAACCCATGAATTGTACAGTCCAGTTTACCGCCTTTGCCTATCCAGGCTCCATACAGGGAAAGACCAGCTGATGGTTGACAAAAAGCCCCAGTGGAATTCCCAGTGAGATATTGCAAGTACCAATTCTGAACACACGGCAGTGAGGCCACCTGAGGTCTGCTGGGCCTTGGGCACACACTGCTCACCAGGGCCCAGACTTGGGGGTGGCCACAGCAGTTCAGGGGCAGGTTTCCCATGAGAAGAGTTCCATTTACAACTAAGAACATGCAGATACACTCACTATACACAAAAATCAACGCTTCTTAAGAAAACAGGCAGGAATAAAGTCACCAGAACAGGACACAGCCAGACCGGTCCTCCGACAGGGATAGCGCCTGCATCCTGTGGCCTCCAGGGGTCACTGTTAGCTCATGGCTGAAAGGTCTCTCACCGGCTCAGTCAAACAGGCCTCCAGGTCAAACTCATCCCCTGCCTGGCTGTCGACGTGGCGCACTTTGGTGGGTGTGCCAGAGTCCATGTCCTAGAAGACACACAGAGTATGTCACACAAGGGCTTGAACATGGGAGGACCTCACAGCTGACAACCCTTAGCTGCACTGCTAGACACTGGGGAGAGGCTGGAGTCAGACCCCGCTCACCCTAGCACCCCACCCACCGAGAAAACGAGCACCCCACCCGCAGAGAACTGCATCCAAAGGAGACTGAGCTTCTGCAGCCCTGGGCCACAATGGCTCTCACAGGTGAGTGACCCAGGACAGCCCCTCCCATTCCCCAGGCCTCATCCTGGTGGTGTAGCTGTAAGGGACAGTGGAGCCTAGGGCCAAAGGGGCTTAGGCAAGCTGACAGATAGGTGTTTCCAGCTGATTTTCAAGGCTTTCCAACTGCTTGTTTTTTCCAGCCACACCCAACAGTGCTCAGAGATCAATCCACCAGGGCTCGGGGGACTCTGGGATGCTGGGGTTCGAACCTGAGTCAGCCGCATGGAAGGCAAGCACCACCAGAAATACACAGAACCCCTCAGCAGCAGAGCTGGGGCACTCCTCTCAGTGGTAACCGGAACAGGATGGCAGCAAGCACTACGGAAGGTGCTGAGCCAGTAGGCAGTGGGGGTATAGAGTAAGGAAACTGTCCTTGCCTGTAGGTATGGGCCTGGGGGTCCGGGGTCTAGCGACCCAAGGCTGCCACACAGGGCCAGGAGTCACCAGCATAGGCAGCACAGTGGGCACAAAAAACCTCCCAGGGCAACCCCACTACACCGCACGGGCCAGACTCTTCACGAGTGCGTCTCAAGCCAAGATCACGTGCAGGCGCAAGAGCTCTCACCTCCGCTGTAGGCCTGCCCACACCCCATCACCACAGCGTCAGAAGCGACACAGCACCTACTACAGCTGCTGAGGGCCAGACCAGACAGTATAGCGGCGGGGGGCACTTGCTGTGCCAGCGGCTGACTAGGATTGACCCCCAGCCTCCCATATGGTCCTCTGATCCCAACAGGAGCAACCCCCGAGTACCAGACTTGGCCCAAAGCCAAAAAATCAAATGTAGAGCAGCATTTAGCGTTTGGGACTGTTGTCCCTTCAGAAGCATGATTGCTTTCAATTTGCAAATGTGACGATTCCTCTGAACCCCATGGGAACACAGCAGAGGCTCAGTACCCTTGAAGGAAGCGAATCCCCAGTGTCATGAGGCAGCTGTGCTGTCTGTGCCCTGGCCAGGAGTGACAGCACCAGGGACCCAGTGAGGAGACAGCTCATGTGGAGAACACCACGCCCAGGGTGAAGCTAAACCACGAGTGCACCTGCAGACAGGTGTGTGCCGCCCGGGGCCCCCTGCACTGATGTCTGCTGCCCGACACCCCACCACCACAGGCGTGTGCAGCCTGACCCCCCAGACAGGCATGTGCCTCCCCTGACCCCCCACAGACAGGCGTGTGCCGCCCCTGCCCCCCCCCCCCACAGACAGGCATGTGCTGCCCCTGGACACCCGCCCAGACAGCTGTGTTGCTCCTGACCCCTGGGCCCCCACGAGTGGAGCAGGAAAAGGTACTTACAAAATTCTCCTGGGAGCTGGAGCTGCTGCCTGCCGACTCCATCTCCATCCCGCCCAGGTCGACTGGGTGTCTGAAAGGAACCAGACATACCTAAGGTCAATGCCTATGTCACAAGCCAGGACATGCAGGAGAACAGTACCCATCCTGGCTCAGCTTATCTCTGTAAGCAGGAGCTCAGGGACATGGTGGGGTCCGAGTGCAGCCCCTGATGTTCCCTGAGGAATGGGCCTCACTTCCTACAGGACATCAGCGCCGCAGGTCGGGGAAGGGTCAGAGAAGAGCTGGGGAAGGGTGAAGGCCATGGGCAAAACTGCCCTCGGGGGCCACAGAACAGTGGGCAGGGAGGGCATTTGCCTTACTCACAGTCACCCCAGGCTCAACCCTCAGCAACCATAGGGTCCCCGAGCCCCACCAGCAGTGATCCCAGAGTGCAGAGCGAGGAGAAAGCCCCGAGCACCAGTTGAGGGTGGCCCCCAAACAAGACTGCTCTCAAAGAGACCACCAGAACAGCTCAGCTGGCCAGAGAGAGCGCCCGGGACACAGAACCTGACACAAAGGGACCATTCTCACCAGCCCTTGCTCGCTCTGTATACACAAAGGCCGTCTGCTTCAGGGTCAGCTGGAGCGGCAGGGGGCAGGAAGTGGCAGGGGGCAGGAAGGCCATGCTTACGTACATGTCCTGCACCTCACAGCCCTCCTCTGCTGGAGGGTCCCAGAAGTGCAGCGCCACCTTCCAGAGTTTGATCTGCTGGTCCCAGGACCGCCGGCTGTACTTCTTGAATTTGTTGGGAGTCTTGGGGTGGATGCCAGGCTGACGGAGGTGCCTGTAGGCGAGAGGGTGCAGGGTGAGGTGACAGTCACTGGCGGGTCCACCCAGACTCCACAGGCAATGCCACCACTGCCACGCCTGAGGAAAGGAGCAGCCCACGCACCTGGGTACCTCCTTGATGTAGCGGTCATAGGCGATGGTGTTCTTGCCATAGTTGATCTGCTTCTGTCTTCTCATCAGCACGCTCTCGTCCGTCTCCACATCAGCAGCCACCACGGACGTGGATTCCTTTGAATCAGAACTACGAGAAGGAAACGCATCACAGAGCCAGCCAGGATACTATGGCAACAAAGGAGCTGGTTCCCCCCGGGGTAACTACACACAGGCCCTACCCAGGCATACACTAAGCACAAAGCACCATAGGTCACAAGAGTCCACTGGGGTGGCCACGCTCGCGGCCCTCACCTGCCTGATGAAGACTTCCTCTCTCTCCCCAAGTCACTTATGAGCAGTTTTCTCTTGTATCTGAGGGTTAAAAGAAAAGTGTGAGAAGGTGAACAGTCAACACGGAGTGAGGAAATCTAAATAGAGCAGGGCCCATGGCTAGAGACACAAGGCCCAGGTGGACCCAGGCACATATGCAGGAACCCCACCCAGCGCCCCCGACAACAGTGAGTCTCCACACCCTGCAGCCCAGAAGCTAGAGCTCCCCTGAGCCAGAGCAATAGGATAGCAGGAAGGGCGCTTGGCCTGTTGACCAGGTTTCATCCTCAGCACCCCATATGAGACCCCCACCAAGCACCACCAGGACTAATTCCTGAGTACAGAGCCAGGAGTAAGTCCTGAGCATCACAGGATCTGGCCCCAGACAAAACAAAAACAAAAAAAAGCTGGAGCAACCAGTTCCTCCTGACCCCCAACACCAGACTTCTGTGTTCCTGGGCCAGGGACTGACCAGGGCCCAGGCTGAGGGCATTTGGCACTGAACACCGGCATTTGGGCTCCCACCATTATCTGGGCAGTTACTTCCTCTCACAGCCAACCCGCAACCTAGGTTTGCAAAGGAGCACCTCACAGCAGCCTGGGACAAGCCCCAGATGCCCCCTCCTGCTCCCAGTGCTTCCTGCTCCTCCAGCCTGCAGAGTCCAGCCCATGTGGGGCAGAGTCTGTGCAGCCCTGAGGCAGCAACCCCACAGAAAGGCTTCCACAGCACAGCCCTGAGCAGAACCCGGGTAGCAGGGGTTGGGCAAGGAGCACGGAGGCAGCCTGCAGAACAGAGCCCAGGCCCAGCAGCCTCTCCCCTGCAGAGAACAAGCAACCCCCGGGCCGTCCCCATAGCCCAGCACAGCCGTGAGGACTGTAGGGGCAGCCCTGCCCCACACCCTCCCAGTCACTTTCTCGTCCCACATGCTGCGTGAGGCCCAGAAGGTGCTTGCTTTTTCATGTGTCAGACCCAGGATAATCCCCAGCACCCCATCGGGTCCCTGGAACCCCGCCAGAAGTGACCTGAGTGCAGAGCCTGAACTAAACCCCAAGCCTCACCAGCTGTGGACCAAAAGCAAAACCAAAAACAACCCAAAGCCCCAGCTGGGCTGGACACCATACGTTTAGGGCAGAAAGACCCAACGTGGTAGCTTGGATGACAAGCGAGCAAAGGGGAGCAACGGGGAGACAGTGGTCAGGACTGCGCTGGGCCCAAGGACCCGGACATGCCCCACTGGGGACAACGCCAAGAGCTCACAGCTCCGCTTCAGAACCCTCCCCGCGCAAATGCTCCCAGCTGGCATTAGACAGACTCAAGAGGGAGGAGAAGCACGACCCTACTCTGACTACCCACTCAGCCTGCGCGGGAACCCACATCTTTTGGTTCTGCTTTGGGGACCACACTCAGTGGCGCTCAGGGACCCTATGGATGCCAGAGATTGAACCACATGCAAGGCAAGCACCCTCCCCACGGGGCCAGAACCCACATTTCTAACATGCCCAGAGGCCCCTGTGGCTGTTAGTGTGGAGCAGGCCCCTGGGATCCCATGGGGCCTAGCGCTGTACCTGGCGATCTCCTTGTTAACTCTGGTCCTCATCTCATCCTCTTCCACTGCACTGGCCCAATCGGTACACCTAGACCGGGGCTTAGGGCCTTCGGGAGTGGTAAAGCTGCAAGAAATGAAACGGCACATTTGAGCCGTGACTGGCACCCTTGACTTCTGGTCCTGGCCTGGACTCCTGTCTGCAGCCCCTCTGCAAGGCCCGGACCCACCACACCGTGCAGGAGGACCCCAGCGCACTCTCCTTGGCTTGCTGCACTAGGAGCCTCAGCAAACACTCTGTCCTCTGGGCACCTCAAAGCAGCAGCAGTGAGGCTCAAGAGCAGTGACTGTGCGGGCAGACAGCTGCGCCCCCCTGCCCCCGCCCCCCCTCTATCTCAGAGGCAGGCTCGTGGCCCACCTGGAGTTCTCAGCCGGCCAAAGGATCTTGGAAAGCGCCTCGCAGTCCTCAAGGCCCACCCAACTCTGCACTCACAGTTCCAAATCCTAAGGGTCCCAAACCTCCAAGGAAGGGGATCTGACCGCCCCAGAAGAGCCCTATCTGCAAGTGAGCGCTCACTCTCGCGACCCCAGGGTGGAGGGAAGCAAGGGAGTCTGGAAAAAACGGCACTCAGCCCCCAGCTGCCCCACCCGTGGCCCAGGGCGGGAGTGTGGGCAGCAGACATGCCGGGGCTGGCAGAGGCCAGAGCCCAGAGCTATAGGACAACGACAGCTTCCCAGGGCCCCGCCACGGGCTGCCGAGCCCTGTGTGTCCCAGAGGGCCCAGCCTCGAGGCCTTATCCGCAGAGGCCCACGCGAAGCCAGCCACGCAAGCACATGGGCGCCACAACGTCCGTGGCCGGTCCCACGCGCGGGGAGCGGGGCCATGTGCACTGCGCGGGCGCAGCTGCGTGAGGGGGCCCTGCGGCGCGAGGGGCCAAGGCGACAACCGGACCCCTGCAAGGAACCGGGGCCAATCCTGGAGGGCCCTGCCCGGCGGGAAGGACGGGAGCACCGCAGAGAAGCCCCTCGCGGGCCCAGCGGCAGGAAAGGGACCCCAGCGCCCCCGGCCCACCTGTCCGGCCTGCAGTCGTCCTCGTCGTCATCGTGCGCCCTGCGGCGGCCGTCGGCTCTGCGCTTGCGGCCAAGGCTCCACCTGGTCGGGGGCGGCGGGCTGCGAGGAGGCGGCGGTGAGGGCGCGCCCGGTCCCGGCCCCCCAGCCTGCCCCCGCCCGCCCACCCGTCGCCCCCGACCCTTGGCAAAGCTCACCTGGCGCCGCGACCCCCGCGGCGGGGCGGGCTCCGCGCTCGGCAGGCCATGGCGGGGCCCGGGCTGACAGAACGCGCGCGCCCCGCCCCAACCGCCTTTATGCGGCCGCTGCCCCGCCCCGGACGCCGGGCGCGACCACTGCGCGGGGGAGCGCAGCCGGTCGCGGAGCCCGCGCACGGCGGGGCGGGGGCGGGCCCGGGCCGGCGGTCCCCCCCGCACGTGGACACGCCCGGCGCGGGCCCTGCGGGTGCCCATTGGCCGCGCCTGCGCAGGCGGGGGCTGTTGGCGGGAGATTCGGGCGCGCGCGACGGACGAGGGCGGGGCGGGCCAACCCGGACCTGTCTCCAATTGGTCGGCGCGGAGGCGTGGCCCCCGATTGGCTCCGCGGGGAGACGCGTGCCTCTTATTGGTCCTGGCTCCATGGGGGCGGTCCCCGCACTGGCGGGAACCGGGAACTCGGAAGGCCGACGCGGGAACAGGAATCGCTTCTTGTCTCCGGACCGGCTGTACCCCGCACCCGTCAACGCCCAACGGGGCCCAACCCCCCACCACACTCCCCGCTCCTGTTGGAAAAGACGGGGCCACAGAACAACACCCCAGCCCATGTGGCTGAATTCCAATGAATCATGTACCCAACCCAGGGTCCTGCAACCCTTGGAGGCAGGCCTGACCTGGAGGGGCCCTGACCCTCGGGTCCCCACTGCAACCCCTCCCTCCCGGGCTCCGCGGCCAAGGCGGGGTCAGCAGAGAATCTGGGAGCCCCCTACTGCCACTTCTAGACTGGCTCAAGAAAAACAAGATACCCACTTGGCAGAAGCACGTTTAATTCAGACTAAGGCTTTAATAAATACATCCAGGTCAGCAACAACAGATTTGCCTCTAGAAATGAAGGAGCAAATTTTCCTGGTAAAAATCATCACAAGCCTTCGTTGGCCCAACGGAGGCTGGGCTCTCCACTGCAGAGCGCCCTGAGGACGCACAGCTGGCGGCTCTCCCAAATCCTCGGGTTTTATGCAACCTTGGGTGAACCAAGAGGTCCATCCAACCCACGAACCAGTCTACGGGCTTCATGTGAAGCCCCCTCCCCCAACAACCACGCCATCAGACTCGCTGCACACGGCCCCGGAGCAGGTCCCTAGGACTTGGGTAGTCACTGCGGCATCCCCTCTCCAACCATGGGAGCTGCAGAAGGCACAGTGTGGGTCACAGAGGGACAAGCACACACTCTGGCTCTAGTAAAGCCAACCTGGCTGGGAAGTGGACAGACACACAGGGGACCCTGGCAGGCCAGAGCGGAGCTCGCCCTTGGAGGCCCCCTCTGCAGCGGGGAGCATGATGGCAGCGTTCAGCATGTCACCCAGGGCAGGCCACGACCCACGACGTAAGGCAGGTGTTGCTGGACAGGGTGTGGGAGGCCTGGACCCCGCACTGCTCCCCACCGAATCTCTTCTGGGTAGTGCCCGGGGCCCTCAGGCTCAGCGCACTGCGCACACATCCAAGATGCAGAAGCGTGCCCGGCAGGTGGGGCAAGGCACTCGGGAGGCCAACCAGGTGTCGGGGCGCTGCGGGTCCTGGCGGCTGGCGAACCACTTGCCCATGCACGTGAGGCACCACATGGGGCGGCAGTAGCACTGCTGGCATTCGCCCTCCGTCGCCTCCGCACATGTCTTCACCAGCTTCACGGCAGCGCGCGCCTGCATGCAGCCAATGCAGGCCTCCAGCTCCTGAGGGCAGCCACTGTCAGCGGAGCTCCAGTAGCTGCCCGCCCCGCCCCACCGCACAGCAGGACCCCCACCTGGCTGCTGGGCACCGCGTAGGCCGGGTTGACCTCCACGAGGGAGGCGAAGGTCTCCAGGAAGAGATCGCCAAGGCTCTGGTGGATGACCACGTTGGCAGCACTGCGAATGGGCGCCCGGAGCTTCTCACACAGCTCACCGTACTCTGCCGAGTTCAGCCTGCACCACGGAGCTGTTGGACGCGCCCACCAACCAGGCCTCTGCCCAGAACTCTCCACCTGGCAAGGAACCAGGCCCTCCCACCCCACCCCAGCACCCAGAGACTGGACACGAGGGGCACGATGGGCTGCACGGCTTCTGGGGTTCAAGACTGGGTGCTGGGGCTACCTTCTGTCCTGCCCCTTCCCCATTCGTCCCCAGCGCATGCCCTCAGAGAAAAGTGGCCGCGCCCAGCTGAGCCCAGGCCATCCGCGCACACCTACCGGATGTCGAAGGCCTGCACGGAGGGGCGGGCCGCAGCCACGCAGATGGTCAGGAGCTGCACCGGCAGGTTGGAATCTGGCGACAGGTCATGCTGCTGCGACTGGGTCACAGTCAGCTGCACGTCCTGCTGCTGGGCCACATGCACCTGATAGGTGGTCACCTTCATCACCCACGTGTCTGTCACGATCACGCGCGCCCCCGGCGCCCCCGTGGCGAACTTGTCGATGCGCCTGAACTCGGTGTTGATGGAAGCAGCCACCGCACGCCAGTCCGACTGCGGGAGCGCATACAAGGCCAGAGTGCGGGCCAGTGGGTGGCGCGCCCAACACTCCCTCGACCAGTAGTAAACCAGGGCCCAGGTCACCGTGGGCAGGGCCACCGCCAGCAGGAGGAAGAGGCTCCAGGCGTCTGGGGCCCGGCTGGGCCAGTAGAGAACCTTGTCCGTGGCGGCGAAGCACATGCCCACGTAGTAGCCTGCAAGGGAGCGCGCGCTCGAGCCGAACTACCCGAAGCTCGGGCCCTGAGAGCCCGGGGCCCGTCTGTGCCCAGCCCCCCACCTAGGATCCAGCTCGCCCGAGGTGGAGGGAAGGAGGGAAGGACCCTCTCCCGACCTTTCAGCACTCGCTGTAAGGGGCCGCGGCCGCCTCCGGCCAGCGCGCTGCGCCGTGCCGCGCCCTGCCTGGCCTGCCCGTGTCCCCGGTGCCCACGGCCGCGCCGGCGCCTACCGAGCGGGAGCAACGCGTGGCACAGCAACGTGGCGGCCGTGCGGCGCAGGTGGTAGGGCACGAAGGCCGCGTCCTCGCTGCCCAGCCAGCCAGACAGCAGGTTCTGCACCGTGAGCCCGGCAGAGTGGAACTCGGTGGGCGTGAACACGAAGCACACGGCGAACACCAGGTAAGCCAGCGTGAAGGTGACCTCGGGGCTGTCCATCGCGCCCACGCCGCCGCCCGGACACCGTCCGAGCGCGGGGTTCGGACCGCAGCCCCAGCCGAGGGCAACAGGCCGCGAGTCCGTCCGCCGGCCGCTACCGCGCGGGGTGCCCTGGGAGCCGGAGCCGCTCGAGGCACCCTGGGAGATGGAGTCGCGCGGCCCTGGGAGCCGGAGTCCCGCGGGGCATCCTGGGAGTTGGAGTCGCGCGGCCCTGGGAGAAAAGTCCCGCGGGGCATCCTGGGAGATGGCGTCACGCGGCCCTGGGAGACGGGGTCCCGCGGGGCATTCTGGGAGACGTAGTCCCGCGGGGTGTCCTGGGAGGTGGTATCTCGCGGCCCTGCGAGACGGAGTCCCGTGGGGCGGCCGGGAAAATGACGTCTCCGCAATGGCTGCGGACGCCACCAGGTGCAGCTTATCGCGGGCCCGCTCAGGTTGACGCCGCACCTGGACCCACTTACCGTGGTGGGGAGAGAGAGATATACTGGAGCGTGCGGCCTTGTGCGGCGGCCTCCCATTGGCCGCAGGTTCCCTTGAGCCCGCCCGCCGCCGTCGCTGATTGGCGCGCGCGCTAACTGTCGGTATTTGAATCGGCGGCGGCAGGCGGCAGGCGGCAAGCGTCTCGCGTCTCGGCGCCAGCGGTCGGTTCCGCCCGGCCGGCAGGTAAGGCTGCAGGTTGTGGACTCGTGAAATCGTGCCCCGGAGAGTCCCTCAGTCGGGCATCCCCGCCCCGGGGCCCCCCGGCCTGCGCGCCTCGCCCGGCGGCTCCCCGCGCCCGCCGGCCGCGCTGCCTCTGCCCGGGGCCCCGTTGCTCGGGCTGAAAATCGGCCATCGCGGGGCAGGCCCCATCTGGGCCCGAGCACTGCCGGAGGAACCCCGGGTCGTCGTGCCGGCGGTGGCCCCGTCCCTCCGCCCCTCCCCCCCCCGCGGGGCTCGGCCGACCTGCCGCCCCTGGCCCTCGGGATCCCCGGAGCAGGTCCGCGCCCCCGGGCCGGGCTGACCCGCCTCTCCGCAGGATGAGCGCGCAGCGGCGCTTCCTCGACGAGAACGTCGGCGCCCAGCACGGCGGCAGCTGCGACTTCCTGTTTTCTCCCCCGGAAGCCTCTGGCCGCCCGTCGGTCCTCCGAGCCTCCCAGAAGGAGAATGTGCCCCCGAGGACCACAGCCCGGGCCGCGAAGGTGAGCAGGCGCCCCGCCCCCGGGACGCCAGCGCGGAGCAGCTGCGCTCACACGGGGCTTCCTCCCTCCCCGGCGCAGGTGACCTTCCAGACCCCTCGACGGGACCCCCAGACACGCAGGCTTCTGAGTCCCAGCTGCCCGGAGGCCTGCCTGGCCCTGAACAGCACCGAGGGCCTTGAGGACGGCCGGCTCGAGGCCCCGGTACACAGGTGAGCCAGGCCGCCTGGCTGTGGGAGGAACGGACGGCCTCCGTGCGTGTGGGCTGCTGCATTCTGTGCCGGGGCTCACTCTGTGTTCTGGCTTAAAAGCCAACAGTTCCCTGGGGAAGCAGAATCTGGCCCAGCCGAAGGCCCTCGGGACATGGCCGTGCCTTCGGGGGACACGAGCTCAGTCTCTGAAGCAGGGCCTGGCTGCAATGGCCCTACCACTGCCTCCCTGGTGGACCCAGCACCCCCCAGCCCTCCGTTGAGCACAGCCGACATGGACAGCCCAGTGGCAGCCCAGGTCCCTGTGGCTGGCAGCCACAAGCCCAGCACGCCTTCTGCAGCACCCCTGCCCGAGCAGGAGCTGGACTCCTCGGATAATGCTGGAGCCCGCAAAAGGGCAGTACACCCAAAGAGACTGGGGAAGAAACGCCAGGAGCACCAGGAAGAGGCCCCCAAAGCCGAGGAGGCAGCCAGGAGCTCCACACCCCCACCCCGGGGAGCCGACAACCTGGACTGGGACAAGCTGGGTGACCCCAACTTTAACCCGTTCGCAGGGGGCAGCGTGCTCCCACCTGCGGATCCCCCCCAGAGCAGCCCAGATGGAACCATGGTCCCTGAGAACTCACTTCCCAGCCCGTGAGTACAGGGCAGGGTGCTGCTGTGGTGCGTGTGTGCGTGCATGTGTGTGCTGTGTATACGCATGTGTGCACTACGTGTAAGCATGTTTGTGGAAGCGTGACATGTCGTAAGGTTCCAGCTCACCTGCTGTGGTCCTGCAGCCGGATACCCTTGTTGGAGGAAGGGGTTGGGGGCCAAGGCAAGGATTGTGTCAGCACGGGGGGGGGGGGGGTGGCCCCAGATGGAGGGTCTCATGAGTGTCTCCAGGCAGGCGCTGGCAGCGGTTGCGGAGGGTGCCCCTGCCATGGCACCCCCAGAACAGGCCTCAGGAGCCGAGAGCCAGGTTAGGAGACTCCCACACCCCAGGGTACGGTCAGGCCAGCCCCAGGCCTGACTGCGGGGGCTGACTCGGTCCCACTTCTCTTCTAGGGAGCAGCCCCGGGAGCTCCAGACTCCTCCACACCCCCCAGCTGTCAGGCCAGTGAGCCAGAGCCACTGGCCCCACAGGCGGGACCAGCCTGGGGCCCAAAGGATGAGCAGTTCCGCAACCCGGCCGAGGGTGTGTGCTCTCGGGGGCTGTAAGCAGCTGGGGACAGGAACCAGACCCCACCCTCGCCAACATGTCCGCATGTCCCCTTGGTCCACGTCCGCGTCCCCCCACCCCGTCCTGCCTGCTCGTCCCCCCCGTCCTGTCCACGCCTCCCTCTGTGTTCACACGTCCTGTCCATCCACGTCTGTGCTTCCCTCTGCATCCATGGCATTCACGCCCCTTGGGTCCCTGTGCTCCTTCCTGGCCCCTTGTGCTTCCTCCAGATCATGGTCATGGAGACCACCGGGTGTTACCCCTCCCCGGGCTCCTTCTAGAACTCGGCCTGTGGCCCCCACCCCCATTTTCCGTTTAGCGATGGATGGCCAGCCCAGTGAGGTTGAGGGCACCAGGCGGTGATTTCTGGGGTGGGTGTGGGTGCTTGCCCCCACTGAGCCGTGTGACTGGCCCCTCAGTCCTAGGCACGTGTGCAGAGCTAGACTACCTGGAGCAGTTCGGGGCGTCCTCGGTGAGTGCCTGCCTCCCTGCCCAGAGTGGGGCCCGTGGAGGGGTCAGGCAGGGAGCCCACTGATACCCCCCTGCAGCTCCAGGTGTCAACCCTGCGGAAGCAATCCCTGTACCTCAAGTTTGACCCACTGCTGGAGAGCCCCCAGAGACCCGCACCCCCTGGCCCCGCACCCTGCACAAGGTCAGCCCCCACCTGCATGTGTGCCTGCTCCTGCGCCTCAGTGGTTCTGGATGGGATGGGAAGGCCAGACACTGCTGCGTGCCGACCCTGTGTGCTCCCTGCCCTGGGAGTGGGGAAGCAGGCCCCGGGTCCCTCTGGGGAGTTGCCCCAAGCCTAGGGCTCTCTTCCCAGCACCACAAGAAACAAGATGGCGGGGCTGGAGCTACAGTAGGCCGGGTAGGGCATTTGTCTTGCATGTGGCTGACCTGGGTTCGATTCCCAGCATCCCATATGGTCCCCCGAGTGACCCCTGAGCATCGTCGGGTGTGACCCAAATAGAAAAAAACAAGATGGCTCAGGGCTGCCTCGGGTGAGTGGGCACGACCCCAGTGGCCCTCCTGGCAGCTGCTGTTCTCTGCTCTCAGTGCTCAGGAGACACTCCTGCCTGCTCCCACCTCCCAGAGCCCATCTGAGACTGAGCTGATGACGTTCGACTTGCTGGGAACCCTGGATGCACCTGTAAGTGCTGGCTTGGGGACCTCTTGTGGGGCGCTTGTCCAGAACCCTCCCAAGGGCTTCCTTCCTGGGGCGGGCAGTGCTGGTACCCACAGGCCTGTGCCCACAGATGCCTGGGCTGCTGCCATGCGTGCCCTGTGGACCCATCGTGGATGTGCTGCAGTACAGCCAGAAGGACCTGGATGCTGCGGTGAGAAGCACGGGCTGGGGGCGCGGGGTCTGCCAGCAGTTGGCACCCACCCACGTGTGTGTGCCCACAGGTGGCGGCCATCCAGAGAGAGAAGCAGGAACTGAGCAGCCAGTGCCAGGAGCTGAAAGCGAAGCTCTCGGAGATGGGGTTCGTGCGGTGACACGGGCAGGGGCAGGGGGGTTGGGGGGGCGTGCAGCCTGGGGCCCAGCACAGCAGCCCTGTGTGTCTCTGCAGGATAATCATGGGTGAGTTCGAGGCGATCGCCTACCAGGCCATGGGTGAGTGGCGACTGCAGCACGGGGGTGCGCCCGGGAACAGCTCCTCCCAGGCCGGCAGTGGGGTGCCCCTCACCCCGGCGTTTGCCCTTCTCTTCTCAAGAGGAGGTTCAGAAGCAGGAGGCAGCATGCAAGGCGGACATGCAGAAGGTGCTGCAGGAGAAGGAGCAGCTGGCAGCCGACCTGCGCTCCATGGAGCAGTCCTTCTTCGACCTCTTAAGGCGCTTCGAGAAGCAGAAGGAGGCCATCGAGGGCTACCGCACGGTGAGGCTGCAGGGGTGGGGTGGGGCATCAGCCAGCACCACCACGGGGTCCCCAAGCGCAACCACGAGTGACCTGCAGCCCTGACGGAGCCCGCCCCTCCCAGAACGAGGCATTGCTGAAGAAGTGTGTGGAGGACCACATGGCGCGGCTGGAGCAGGAGGGCCAGCGCTACCAGGCACTGAAGGTGCAGGCTGAGGAGAAGCTCCGGCTGTGAGTGCGGGCTCCCGAGGGCGGGGGGCGGGGGGCGGAACGACACTGGCCAGCCGCCGAGGCTCAGCTGCCCCACACCCCAGGGCCAACGAGGAGATCGCCACCGTGAGTAATAAGGCCCTCGCCGAGGCCTTCGCCGTCCAGGCCAGCCTGCGCAAGGAGCAGATGCGTGTGCAGTCCCTGGAGAGGGTCGTGGAGCAGAAGGTGAGGGCCGGGGGGCTGGGGGGGCGGGGAGCCGGGGGCAGCGGGGGCAGCTCTGAGACCACGTCCCCTCAGACCCGGGAGAACGAGGAGCTGAGCAGGATATGTGACGACCTCATTTTCAAGATGGAGAAGATCTGACTGGCGCCCACGACGGCTCTGTCTTCTGGCCACTTTTAACCCCAGCCATGAAAGAACTAATAAAGTTTCTGTGACTCAAAGGCTCCTGGGATTGGTTCTGGCTTTACCGAGGCCAGCGGGCCTGAGGCTCCAGGAGGGGACGCTCTGTGGGAGCTGCCAGGGTGCGTGGGCTGCACTGAAGGTGTCTGTCTGTCCAAGCTGCCTGCGGGAGGCTGGGAAGCACACGGGGCTGAGCGCACCGGTGCCAGGACGGCAGCTGCCACCAGGGGGCGCTGCTGGCCTCAGGCGGCCTGACTGCCCGGGTGGGGCAGGGGTGAGTGGAATCAGGGCCCGCCCGCTGTCTCCACAGCTACCCTGTGCTGCCCCACAGCCCTCGGCCCCACTGGGTGCTGCCGCTGCCCCCATAAGAGGGCCACCAGCCAGCCCCCTTCTCACAGTCTGGGGACGGCCGGGGCTTGTCCCCTGGGAGCCTGCCCAGAGCAGGCCAGAGCAGGCGGCCACTTCAGGGCATCCTGTCTGGCCTGGGCTGCGCCGAGGACAGCAGCCGGGGACAAAGGGGCCTTGTGCGGCCGAGTGGCTGTTTATCCTGGAGCCGGGCTGAGTCCTGGCTCTGGCCTCCAGGGGTAAACACGGCCGCGGGTGCCCAGCGCCTGCACTTCCTGTGCACAGAAGGCGGGAGCACTGGGAGAGGGGCTGGGCCCCGGGCCCCACAGACACGTGGTGACCCCTGGACTGCACGGGGTGGGACTCACAGGACGCCCTATGGGCTCTGAGCCAGGCAGTGTTGTGAAAGCTGAGGCCCCGCAGAGAAATGGCCCCTCCCAGGCACGGAGCCCAGAGGTCTGGAGACAGGTACTCCCCTGAGCCCATCCCTCCTGTGGCCACCCCCGAGCCCCCCTCAGGCTCAGATCCAAGGGGCTGTGGGACCTTAGGACAGAGCCGCACTGGCATCTGCCCCATAGGGCCCTGAGGGAGGCACAAGGGTCCTTGCCCGCGCAGGATAGGGACTGTGGCAGCCCCACACACGGCCACTCTGGGGGAGCCTTGGTTCCAGGCATGCTGGGTCAGGTGGCCTGCAGGGGGCACTGGTAGGCCAGCCTGACCCCTCTGGGGCCCAACGGCTCAGGGCTGCCTCCCACACTACCTCCCGGATGGACAAGGACGGCCACCTCTCCCTCATGCCCTGCCAGTTGCCGAAGGGCTTCCCTGGCCACTAATCAGGGCCCAGCCCCTCAAGTGCTCCATGTGCTGCTGAGGTCGCCACAAGCCTGGTACCAAACGCCCCCGCGAGAGAGCCCATGGGTGTGTGCCGCGAGCACCCCAGGACCTCCACTTCGAGCTGGCAGGGGCAAGGTCAGGGAGTGAAAGCTGCCAACAGAAGGCGGCATGGGGGGCTGGATCGATAGCACAGTGGCCAGGTGTGACCCAAAAAGAAAAAAAGGCAGCATGAACGTGTGACATGTGGAGCTGGGAGTGACGGGAGTTCGTGAGTGAGCACGTGAATGTGTGAGTGAAGAACGTGAGTGGGCAAGTGTGTGTGAACGTGTGAGTGAAGGTCTGTGGATGAGAGTGACGTGAGTGGGTGAGTGTGTGGATGAGTATGTGAGTGAATTAGTATGGATGAGTGTGTGTAGATGAGTATAGCAGAGTGTTAATGTGAGTGTGTGTGGATGTGTATGGTTGTGAGTGGGTGAGTGTGAAGGTGAGTGGATGAGTGTGTGGATATGAGTGGATATGGACAAGCTCATGAGTGGACAAGAGTGACTGACTGGATGAGTGTGTGTGTGTGGATGAATGGATGAGTGTGTGGATAAGTGAGTAGATGAGTGTGAGTGGATGTGTGTGAGTGTGAGTGGATGAGTGTGTGTATGTGAGTGTAAAAGTGAGCTGGAGGGGCTGGAGTGATAGCACAGCGGGTAGGGCATTTGCCTTGCACGCAACCAACATGGCCAACCTGGGTTCGATTCCCAGCATCCCATATGGTCCCCCGAGCACCGCCAGGAGCGATTCCTGAGTGCATGAGCCAGGAGTAACCCCTGAGCATCGCCGGGTGTGACCCAAAAAGCAAAAAAAAGAAAAAGTGAGCTGGAGTTCATCATCTGACTGATGATATCTTTTATTTCAGGCAGTTTATCTGATTCAGTTTACTCAGATGGGTAATTCTGTGAATATTGTCAAACTTCTCATTAATCCCATTTTTTTTTTTTGGTGTGGCTATAAAAGAGTAAGGTAGAGACTGGAGTGATAGTACAGGGAGGCAGGCGTTTGGCTTGCACACAGCTGACCCGGGTTTGATCCCCGGCATCCCATATGGTTCCCAGAGCGCCATCAGGAGTAGTTTCTGCGTCGGTAATAACCCCTGAGCATCAACTGGGTGTGACCCAAAAAGCAAAAAAAATTTTAAAAAGAGTAAGGCATATATTGTGGTATAAGTCAGGTGCAGTGGGAAATAATGGAGTGGGCATAGGGACATAGGGCCCTGGAAGATTAGTGAAAGCAACAGCCCGGTAGGGTCTGCATCTGCACAGCGCCCGGTACGTACCTGGTGTTCAAGAAAGGGTGGAGGTGCACAGATAGCAATGAGACGCATTCCCTGTCATGGGCAGGTCTGTCTCATACAAGGAGATGGTGGTGCGGGTGGGTAGTTACATGGGTGATGTATATCCCAGGGCTGGATTATTTCTAGTAATAATATGGGTTTTTTTATGGACTAACACTGTGAGTGAATGCACATGTGAGGGACATGGATTGAGGAACTGGGAAGATGAATGAGGGAAGGAGTGTGATAGTGGGTGAGTGGAGATGAGTGGATATGTGTGAGTGGAGGAGTGTAAATGAAGGAGTTTGAGCAAATGGATGAGTGAATAAATGTGTGTGAGCAGAATGTGAGTGAATACGCGTGAGTGTGGGGTAGATGAGTGTGGACGAGTGAATGTGAGTGAACGTGAGCGAATGAGTGGCTGTATGTATGTGAACGTGTGTGAGAATAAATGAGCAGGTCAGTATGAAGGAGTGTGTGAATGGATGAGGATGGGTTAATGTGTGTGAAAGTGAGTGGAGGCGCCACCATGCTTGCCCGGAGGGGAAAGGGTGTTGCTCCCCTCCGCCCTCCCCCCTGTGGAAAGAAAGATGGCGGTCGCATGGGAGCCTTGTGGAGAGCAGGTATGAGCCGGGGGGTGTGGGGGCGACTAAAACCTTATGGGAAAGGGGGCGTTCCGGCCCGTCCTTCACGCCCTACCGAGGTCACCAGTTGCCCCCCACACGACCACAACTCCAGAGCACAGAAACCAACCTATTAATTATCTGACTTTCAGTAGAAATATTTCCAGGGTTAATAAGTAAAATAACAGAAATCCAAAACCGCGTAGCCGCTATTTAATTCTTGAACCCAACTGTAGAAAGCAAATCATTTCACAATGCTTTTTCAGCATGTCTGAATTGGGGGGGGGGGGGGGAATGTAAACTCTAAATAATAATGGTGCATCTTTTATCAAAACAATGAATCTAGTCAAAGTAGATAGAGTGTTAACTAGAATTCATCTGCCTCACAGGCATTGGGAGGGGTGGGGAGTGGGGTTTTATTGGGGTTCTTGGTGGTAAAAAATAAGTATTGGTAAAGGGAAATGTGTTTGATATTTGCATGACTGAGACCCAAACCTGAAAGCTTTGTTGTAACTTTTCCCACAGTGATTCAATAAATAAATAAATTATTTTAAAAAATAATTTTTTTTACCACCATTTTGTCAGTAAAGAAACAAACAGCACCCGGCCCAGACAAGGTCAGACCTGAACACCTGAAGAACCTGCCGTCAGTACTCATCAATACACTGGCTCGGCTCTTCACTCGCTACCTGTCTGAATGCAAGGTTCCGTCCCAATGGAAAACCAGCAGGACTGTACTACTGTTCAAGACGGGAGACATCCATGACATTGGCAACTATCGCCCGATCTGCCTATTGTCTGTCATCTACAAGTTGTTCACTCGAGTCATCCTAAATAGGATTGGCAGAACACTAGATGAAGGACAACCATGCGAGCAAGCCGGGTTCCGCAAAGGATTCAGCACCATCGACCATATCCACACGATAACCAAGCTCATTGAGGTTTCTCGGGAGTTCAAGATGCCGCTCTGTTTAACGTTCATTGATTTAAAGAAGGCCTTTGATTCTGTTGAGATGGAAGCGGTCATTGAAGCCCTAGCCAATCAGGGCATTCAAGCCCAATACATCAGGATTCTCCGTGAGCTGTATTGCGGATTCACTACCAGGATCTCACCATTCTACAAAGAAGTGATCGTTGATGTCAAGAGAGGGGTGCGGCAGGGTGATACCATTTCACCGAAACTCTTCAGTGCCACCCTCGAGAACATCATGCGACAACTGGAATGGGAAGGAATGGGAGTGAAGATAGATGGTCGGCAACTACACCACCTCCGCTTTGCTGATGACATTGTTTTAATAACACCAAACATCAGCCAAGCGGCACAAATGCTGGCCGACTTTGACCGTGAGTGTGGAAAGGTAGGACTACAGCTGAATCTTACGAAGACAATGTTTATGAGAAACAGCCTCGTTCCTGACGCCCCATTCACTCTCAACGGAACGACCATCTCCGAATGCAACAGCTATGTGTACCTAGGTCGAGAGGTCAACATGACAAATGACCTGGCACCCGAGCTGCGCAGGAGGAAGAGAGCGGCTTGGAACGCCTTCAAGAACTTCGAAGCAATAGCTAAGAGGACGAAGAACCTCCGGCTCCGGGCACATCTCTTCGATTCCACTGTTCTTCCTGCATTAACATATGCCTCAGAGACCTGGGCCCTACGCAAACAAGATGAGAACGCTATTCAGGTCTCCCAAAGAAGAATAGAAAGAGCTATGCTTGGAATATCACGTTTCACTCAAATGAGAGAAAGAATCCGGAGTTCTGACATCCATCGATGATCAAGAATCAGGGACGCTGTCTCATTTGCCAAGGTGTCGAAAATCAGATGGGCTGGTCACGTAATGAGATTTAAAGACAACCGCTGGACTAGAGCTGTTACT